CTGGCTAAACAAATCAGGAAAACACTTGATTAGGCATAAGAAATCAGACTTTTAAAACAGTCCGTGCTCCAGATTTTTCTGAAATACAGTCTAAAACAAACGAATGACAATATTCATATTCAATTTCTAAGAAAACAATGAATCCTTTTCAAAAACCATAGAAACCATGGTAAACTACTTCAAAGGTAGAAGGGATTCATAAAAAGAAATCCCTCAAAATGTTTCCAAGACTGGGAGAACTAACCTCTGTAAAACAGTCACTCATGCTGGACATTTTCTGAAATTTCTAAAATTAAGTCATCTATAAACAATCTTCCTTTTGAAACTACTGAACAACTAAAAAAGAAAGCACTATAACCCTTACTAAAAAAGGACTGAAATTTAAGTGGTAAAGTTAGTAGACAAAAGCAAAAAGGACAGAGTTAGCTTCTCCTTATGTGAGTTCTAATAGAAAATTAGGTGGAAATATTAAGCATAAGAAATCGGGAAAAACACTTTATTAAGCATAAGAAATCAGACTTTTAAAACAGTCCATGCACCAGCTTTTTGTGAAATAGTCTAAAACAAACTAATGACAATATTCAAATCCTATTTCTAAGAAAACCATGAATCCTTTTCAAATACCGTAAAAACCATAGTTAACTACTTTGAAGGTAGAAGGGATTCATAAAAAGAAATCTCTTAAAATGTTTTCAGGACTGGGAGAACTAAGCTCTGTAAAACAGTCGGACATTTTCTGAAATTTCAGATATTAAGTCATCTATAAAACATCTTCCTTTCGAAATTATTGAACAACTAAAAGAAAACACCATAACCCTTACTAAAAAAGGACTGTAATCAAGTGGTAAAATTAGCAAAACAAAAGCAAACAGGACAGAGATTTAATCAAGGCGGATCACAGCTGAGTAATGGTAAATGTGACCGAATTCTTTAAACATACTCATTTTCTTAATCTCAATTTAAGATACCAGCATGCTCTGTAAGGATTAGGAAGAGAAAAAAGGCATTTTCAGACATGTATACATGAAACGTGTGAACTAATCATTCATTCCATTCATGAGAAACTAATACTTGCACAAATTAAAAATAATGCAGAATATGCACAAAAGTAAAAACCCATACCACAGTCTTAGGATAAAACGAGTTGAATGAATCGATATCTCCTCTAATTTGGAATGCTGGTCTTCATGTATCCAATCGATTGCTCCTTAATATAGTTACTTTAAAGTACCGTACCTGAGTATGAAGCGAATAAAAAAAAATTAATATGCAAGCACCATTGACATGCAAATACATAATGTGGAATTCAACTACATCTCTTCAACATCCATGGCTACCAACTACCCAACAACCCTTTCTCCATTTTTATTCCTTTTATGTTAACCAAAAGTTCTCTAATTAGTAATTATAAATTAAATGGGAGGAGTAAGTTTGCTATTATCTTAATTCCTGGGTTCTTCTCCTTTGCCTCTTCTCCTTGGCCTGCTTTACCTTGCCTCCTGGATTCCTTAACTACTAATCTTCTTTTAATTCGCAGTAGACTTAGGGAAGTAGGTGAGGATTGAGTGATGGTGAGGATTGAGGAAAGTAGCTCCTTTTTTTCAAGAAATTAAGCCCGCTCCAATAATGGCTGTGCAGATCTTAAAGATGAAGCATGGACAAATCTGAGAGGTGGGTGACCGCCGGCATTCGAAGACGATGGGAGCATGGCCGATTAAGCCTGCATGCCGGCGATTTAGGTGGGATCGATCGATTTTGGGGTAGAGGTTTTGGAGGACGAAAATTTGGTAAAGTTACTTTTTACGATTTGCCTAAGGGGCAGAAGGTCATATTGCCCAAAAGCGGAGCGGGAAGAATAAGGCGCTGAAAATTTTTGGTGAAATATTACTTAGATGTTAAACCCGTGCGATGCACAGGAGTTAGTTAAACACAATATGGTTAAATCATTGAAAAATAAAATTGTGATTAACACAAACGATGTTAATGAGTTATGATGGTATATATGACACGATTAAATATAAATTATAAGAGTTACTTACAAATATAAAAATATAAAATGTAACGTCGAATTAAATATTGTGTAAACTGTGAAAAAGTTATATCTTAATTGTGATGAAAGTAGAGGTCATATTATGTTTTATAATAGTATAAAAAAAATTAAACGAATTAATATTGTACTTAAATTGTATTAATTAAATTTATGAAGACTTTATTTGTTGTTACAGAAAGTTCTTTTATTTTGAATTCATAAAATAATGCCACATAAGATTTTTTCTTATGTGGCACTCTAGGAAGGATCCACCAGTTTCTCTCTCTGGTTTTTCCTTTATAATATATTATGGATAGATAGCGCCATTTTTCCCTAAAAGCGTAACAAGTTGCAAGCATTTTTTTAGTTTCATTTTTTTCTATGAATAAAATAAAAGAATTTTATTCATATCATCCTCAATATTATGCAATGGCATCCTAAAAATTATGAAATGACACCCTCAAGATTTTTTTTTTTCCATTTTAAACGCATATGATTGTAACTATTTTCAATTACAGCCTCATAAATAATTTTTAAATTTTTCATTAAACCCAAGGTTTGAGACATTTTGACACTTACTAGACAATAATGTATGATAAATTGAAAATCACTAATGTTTATATCTTATACAAAGTCTGTTTGCTAATAAAAATGAAACTTATACTTATTAGGTTAAGTATTTTTTACACGATTGGCTTACAAATCTTATCAAATACAGTCAATTAATCTTTAATCAATTTACAGTAGTTTATCGATATTATGCTTCACATTTGTACGCCTATTAAGAAATATGATACGATCGAGTTTGTGAGTTGGTCTCATTTCAAATATCTAACTTGTTCTAATTTGTTATTATATATTGTGTCGGACGTCTATTTGATAATTACCCTCATCTTTGAACGTAGGAATTTGTAACTATACTAATGTTGTTTTGACACATTCATCGTCTTAATTAAGTATGCTAATATATATTATTCATGTACAAATTAAATTTTACATGCATGAAAACTTTAAACTACAAAGATAAACATGCTTGTCTTTATTTTTTGTTGATATACTATTAAACATATATATATATATATATATTTATATATACAAGCTATTACTTTTTTTTTGTTAAAATGAACAATATTATCCATGGATACAAACCTTGGTTAAATACTATATAGTACTTACATTTTACCTTATTTCAAAAAAAAAATGTACATAAATTTTACCTCCCTAATATTTTATCGTGACAAAATTGAAGTATTTGTGGTGAATTTGTTGTTAATTCAAATATTAGCCACGAATTTACACACGTAAAAATTAATCACAGCAGCTAGACCGTGTCTAAAGTTAATTTGTACTCGGTCAACATTGGTCAATGGCATTTACACACAGCTTTCTCCTCGTATTCATGATTAATTCAAAAATTAGCCACGGATTTTCACACGGAATACTTAACCAAGACACCTCGGTGATGCCTAATGTTTAATTTGTGCTTGGTCAACATTGGTCAATGGATATACACACGGCTTTATCCATTTTTTTCGTGGTTACTTATAATAATGTCCATTGATTTACATACGAATCGTTAGACACAAACAAAACCGTGATAAATTTATTGGCGGGAAAATATTAACCACGCCTTAACCACGACGTTATTTTAGACGTGGATATTTTGTGGCTACTGTTATGGCTAAATTATGAATAAAAAAAATTAAGATTGATCAAAACGTTCGTGGGTAATTCATGATTAATTCGTGGCTAAATAATCAAAGATTTACTACGACCATACTTTTTCGTATGTAATCACTTGTTTTCTTGTAGTGTAAATACAATTCGCTAGTTCATTAACTTCTCTACCTACTATGCTACTAAAACCGTCATATCCATCCTAACCATTAATGCTTTAATTCCCTCAAACATGGCCCAAACTTTAACCAAGTGGAGAATTTGTCAAGTACTAATTAATGATTATCATCTCTAACTAATTAACACCTAAAAAAAATACTATTATCTCTCTTTTTCCGAAGCAAGAAGAAGTAATTACATTGATTAGCTAGCTCTAGAAATTGTTTTAAATAATTTTAGACGGCAAATTTTTTGACCATTCAAAGTCTCCAAACAGGATCCAATTTGACGAAATTTATGGAAGCATGCGGGTTTCACATGATGAGTTGTTTCTTGTTGTGATTGTTGCCATCAATTTTCAGTGCTGAGTTTATAAGGCACTGAGAGGTTCCAAATCGAATCCCGTCAGGACTAACGTATGATGGGTTATTTATTAATGCAATTGATCTTTTCTTTATGAAAGAAATATCATTAGACTAAAATGAAGTCATCATTCTGTCTTTGTAACAAAAAAAATCGAACGAAGACCTTTGCCTCGATCTTTGTAACAAAAAAAAAAAGAAAGAAGTATCATTATATGAAAATGAAGTCTTCATTCTGTCTCTTAATAATGATATGATTTATCTTTGTCGAATTCCTGGTTAGAGCTGAGAATCCAAGTAAGAAGGTTGATGTGTAAAACCAAAGAAATACAGCCAAAAAATCTAAGCAACATAAAGTACAAACTTAAATGGTAGTTCAATGCAAAAGGAGACTCAAATGGTAGTTCCTTGCAATAACCTATCGAATTTGCCATCTTTCACAAACGGTAGAGCAGCTCTAGACCAGAGAGCCAGCCATGCCTAATCTACGAACCAAATAAATTTTACCAGTGCTGTTCAAATTGTCAATATCCGTCATACCTCAATTTTGAAGCATTGCAATATACTTTAATTAGCTAAGTTCAAATAATGTAACTTATTGCTTAGGCTTGCTGTTATTTATTTGGTGACATTTAAGCATTGTCTCTAATAATACTTCTTTAATACCAATAAATCGGATTTTATTTTGGTCAGATGCCGCACACATGAAATAAAATTAAAGAAAAAAAAACAAAATGAGCAAAATAATGTAAATTTCCGATTTCAAAGTGAATAATCTGTAAAGCTAGCTCTTATTCATATATCCCATGTCATAATACAAAGTTATGATTATTACTTACTACAAAGAGCTACGATACTGAACTTGCCTCTTGAAAGCACATATATATTCAAGTTTCCAACTCTAGGATTTAGTCTCTTCAACGTTAGCTCCAATGCCGTGGGGACCATGGCCACCGTGGCCGCCACCATGTCCACCACCATATCCGCCACCATGTCCACCGCCTTTCCCATAACCACCTCCTTTGCCACCGCCATATCCGCCACCCTTGCCGTAACCACCGCCATGACCACCACCATAACCGCCACCTTTACCGTAACCTCCACCATGACCACCACCATAGCCTCCACCTTTTCCATAACCGCCTCCACGTGCTCCCCCGTATCCACCTCCGTGGTGCTTAGATTCCTCTACTTCCGGAGTTGCTGCATAGCCAACACGTAAACAGCTAAATGAGCATTTTCTAACGAAAAAAAACTTAATTCGTATTTAAATGAAGGAGAATTTATTTCCAGTTTTCCACCATAAGAGACTATCGTACCTTCCTCAAACGGGGTGGAGTTCTCCTCGGCCAGCTCCCGAGCAGCAACCTCGGAGGTGATCATCAGAGAAATTAAAAACAAAGAAATGCAAGCTAAAATGAGTGCTTTTGAACCCATGATTCTTTCCTTTTTCTTATATCACTTACTAATTCAAAATGAACTTACGAATATTATGAACAAGATTGGACGAAAATCATCCTATTTATAGGAAATTGTATGCCCCCACAAACATTTGAACTTATGGTGCAAATTGCATCGAATCACCAATGTAGTTGGGAAGTGGTGGAATAGAAAGTTGGAGATGATATGTTTGATTGTTGATATTGGTTGTGTTCCAAATCTGCTATTAATAGATATACAGTACAATCAAATTTTAGGGCATGCAAAAAATGAGGAGACACGTGTATTTTCTCTTTTATCCAAAATTTGACCTTTGATCCACATATAATTTGACTTATGCTTGATTGTAAAGTGGGAACACATTTCACGGTTGGAGATCACTTATGACACAAATTTGTGCCACTTCTTGTGATATTTACTCTGTATTCGACACGTGTCTCATCTTTTCCTTCCAACCTCCACTTACCAAACTTTAGTAGCAACCATGATTAATCTGGACAGAAATCAAAAAACGAAAAGGTAGAAAGTGGCTTCTCTCACACATCTCTTGTAAGTTCTCAAATTTTTCCCGGAGAAGAAGCCAAAGTGTGAATCACAGGAGACATATATCCATTCTTGACAATTTTGATGTATGAACTTCAAATATCGGTGTGTAGCAAACTTTTAAGAAAATGAGTTTATGTTCCTGGTGCTTGCCGTCACCATTGATGTCGGTGTCTTCAGCCGGAATTATACTTTCCAGTGCACTTTTCTTTTGCACGATTTATCAAGCCGTTTGTGGCACACATCAGTATGACAAAGGTTTAATTTTCAATTTGTAGTATAAAGAAATAAGAAATTTCCAGAATAAAGAACTCCGTTGAATTTGGTTGCTTCTCTCTGAAAAGTGAAAATCTTACTATGGTTATGCAAAATTTATCTCGGTTAGCTTGTATATTTATACGGCTAGAGTAGTGTTTATTTTGAAAGAGTCCAAAAAATTGTTAATTCAACAAACACACATACATCTGTTGTTATTCATCCGATAAAAGTGTGCTCCAACATAACTTTAGTTTCCAATAAGCAAGAATTTGCCAACGGAAAATGTAAAAGAGAAACAACTGATCTATAGACTACTTAAAGTTTGTAAAACCATCAATGTTTCTCTATTTTGATGCAACTCTCCACTCTAGATTACGGTGATACAAAAAAGAAAAAGCACCAACTGAGAGGAAAAAATCCCATAGAGTTTATTCCTTAGATTCCCTAAACATTCACAAAAAAATTCAACCAGAAGGGCAGAAGCTTTGCTTATATATCAGAATAGAATCCATCCAGGTAATCAAATATTGTTCTTCATCGTGTCGCCCCACCATCACCGTCCTACTCAACCCGAATCTCCAACAAACAAAAGTTCCATTTCCTCGAAGTTTTGCTACACAACTTTGCCGGTGGATAAATTGAGAATTTAGAAGAGACGGAGAGAGAAACTTTTTTTTTTTATGTGTTCCTTTTTTTTTCAACTCCTACCCGAATTTATACTTTCAAAGAAAAAAGAACTCCAACAAGGATTTACCATGGTTAATGAATTTCCGTAAATGAAGGGGTTGGGAAAAAAGTAAAAGACACACGTTGATATGAATCTTGAGGCAAAGGTGGCAGATTTACCTTGACGCGGAAGCTATGAATTTCTCAGGACTTGAAAACTTGCAAATCCAATATTATGGACTCCACAACTCACGAAAATTGAAAGAAAAGAAGAGATGCAAACCACAAAAATTTGCCCCAAAAAGGGATGGAAAAGTTTAGCAGATGTAGAAAGTGTTTAAGGTTAGCAACCTAATCGGTCACCTCTCTAACAACCCTATCCTTTCAATTTATGGATAGAATGGCTAGCGAAAAGGCTCCAATGAACAACTAACAAAGCTCCACAAGTAGAAAAACACCTATTCTACTTGCATGCATCAACAAGCACAAGCTTGTGTGCAATGCACTAGTCTTCGAAAAGAATAGAAAAAGAACAAAGAGTTTCTTCTCGTTTCATATTGAAATAATTCATCAAGGCTACAAATGAAATGCTGGCCAAACACCCTTATTTATAGTAGAGGGGGCCGAAATTCTCCTATGAAGTAGGAGAAGAGTTTGATCTCTAACTCTATTCATACTTTAAAGAACTAGAAATCAACTTAACCTCTAATTGACAACTTGTGTATTATCTATTAAGCCAATGTATCTAGACACCTTTATAGATTTAAGACACACTAGTCTATTGAAAATAAAACTCCAAATACAAAGAGATATTCTCTCAAAAGAATCTTATCTTTATCTTGAAAAGAATCTTCCTGAGTTGTCAACTCTATTAATATCTTCTTTGTAGAGTAATCATAGCCATCCAATCTTGATCTAATCTCCATCCAATGATTGAGAATAGACACCAAGGAATAGACTTCTTATTTTGAATAAACTCTAAATTAGATAAAAGAGAATCATATCAAATCTTATCCTTCCATGTGATAAGATTTATGATCTTATCTCTAAAAGATAGGGAATCTTCCAAGTCTTATCCTTCCACAAGTGTGATAAGATTTAAATGATTTTATCCCTAAAAGATAGAGATTCCAACTCCTAAAAATTAGGAGATAGGGCTGGCCTCCCTTGCTTGGTTTGTGGGCCGAAATTTCCTTCCTCAAATGGGCCTTGTAACACATTAATAATCTTGGGCTTGTAACTTTCAGACTTGACATTCTTTTGGGCTAAACTATTTGATATAAGATTATTAAGTGCACTCCTCATCCTTTTACTTCTAGTTTGAGTCATTGGGCCTCCAATGTTGGATAATAGATCTTGAGCCACTCCTTGAGCTTGGACAATATTTGGAACCCGAACACCTTAATCATCTTGGACTTGATTACCATGGATGTTCACATCACACGTGTTCGCTTTAAAGTAAATGTCACAGGGAATGACAAAAATTTATGTCATAGATGATCTCCACTCACATTTCACAAACTTACGTTAATTAGACTATATGTACGAAGTCAATTGTTGCGGTTCTTATTCGTGGCAATAAGTTGAAACTAAAAAATCACATCTGTCATGTTTTACGAATTAAGTTGTCAGGCTTCTTTGTTTACAAAGTTCTACAAAATACTCCAAATTTATGTACGCAATGGATACGAATTCATTTGTACTCAAAAAAAGGTTACTAACAAATAATTTCTTATTTTCGTAGTAAAAATTTTGATGAATATTCACTACCTATTTTACTATAGTACCAGATTGGAATCACATGCCCTATTTTTTTTTTTCAAATGTAAGCAGTGTAGTGTTGAAATATATGAATAATGATATATGTAAGGAATAATTTACCAAAAAAAAAAAGTAAGAAAAAATAATATGAATAAAATTACAATCATTAATCTTTACTCTTTTCTCTTAAGAATTTATCCATTCGATGCTGGGATATAATTAATTATTAGTCAAATCAGTACTTGTAAATTTTTAATATGTATCATCACTCAGGGGCGGAGCCAAGGGGGGTTTCGAGGGGTGAGTCGACCCCTCGGACGGCCGGATTTTATTTTGGTAGGTATTCCCTGTATGTTGAATTCGACACCCCTAGAAAAGGTTGCAGCGGTCGGTGAAGGAAGGAAGAAGACAAAGCTCTTGTTGTTTATAATTTCTATTAACTGGGCTTTCGTTTCCAAAAAAATTAATTGAGCTCTTTTTTTCTTCAGTAACACCTTTAAAAAGTACTGGGCTTTAAGTTTAGCATAGGCATATTGTTCCTTTTTTCTTTAAGTATCATTATCGTTAAGAACTTGCCCATACTAATTCAATAGTGATTCCAGTAAATAAACATGTACATATATGTAACATGTAAAAAGAAAAAGAGATTAGTTAGTGATAAATGTAGAAAAAAAAATTTTAGCTTCACTCTTTGTTTGATTTTTTATGTGCACCTTTAAAATTTAGAACCAAATTAAAATGAAAAAAATAAGTCATTCTTAATGAAATGATAAAATTAATAACTAACTATATGCGACTTGGTAATATAGTTATTAAATAAAAGGAAAAAAAAAAGCTTATTTTCTTATTGATTCCCCAGTATGAGAGTTTTGGTACTGAATGATTGTCCAGTTTAGAGTTTTAGTTTTAGTTCAATTTATACTAATAATAAAAATTTAAACTTGATAATAAATTTAAGAGAGAGGAAGTAAAATTTGTATTAAAAGTAATAATTTAAATTTATCACTCATTTCTGGACGGAAACTAATACAATAAAATGTTTTCTATAAAAATCTATTTTATTTTTTCCCTACCAGCAATCAGAATCCTCATTACGGTGCGTACATTTACCAAGTCTTTATGGGAAAAACAATGAAGCAAGATCAATTTTGCTTGCCCATCGTTAGAAAGGCACGGTCAAATGTAAGGTTATATATGATACACAGATTTTGTGTAACACATTCTCTAACATTATCTAATTAACGCATTACCTTTTTGACATTATCTAATTTTAAGACAAAAGTGATATATCAAAACTGATTCAAGGGATCTTCTTCCACAACCGACAGTTTGAACAACTTAACCCTGATTGATCTTCATTATCACATTCCGAACACAATAAAGTGAATTAATTGCCTTTTTGGATTTGGTAATATTGTCACTAATCATTGCGCCTCATCCATACACATAAATTGGGTTTTTGATTGATAGAAGTACACACTCGACGATATGTTTTCTGCAAAACTCTTGGATTACAAACTCTGTGATACTATTGTCTAAAATGGTACCAAGCCTTATTCTTTTTAACTAAGTTTAAACCATCCTCAAGTCCAGAGGCAATGAGAATTTTTAAATTATGAGGTCGAAAATAGAATTATTCAATCACCAGAAGGGGGATCCAATGGCAAAAATTTGAGCTGACACAGGGGCAGACTTACGTTATACTCAGGTGGGGCAATTGCCCCAGCTGAAAATTCCATATTTGCCCCTTATACATTATAAAATTTTAAAGTTTTGCAACTATTACCCCAACAAAAATTACAAAGATTAGGGGCAAAAAGTTATAATGCTCAAGTGACTTTTAATAAGAGAGAGAATATAAGAATGAGAGTCAGAGTTTCATTAAATTGTGATTACAAATTAAATTGATTTTTCGCTTTAATATTTTGAGTCATTATTTTTTTAAAAAGTAATATCATGTCTTGAGTGTTTACTGCAATTTTACTTTAAATTTAAATGTAATGGAATGTTTACTGTCATTTCCAAAAAAAAAAAAACCATTTTACTTTAAATTTTATTTTAACTTGGGGGTTCTAGTTAAGTGACATTAATATGAATTTTTCAATTTGTTTAAAAAATCTTATCTTTTCACTAACTCATCAAATTTTTAATACTCAAAGCACAATTTCTCCATCAAATCAAATCAAACTCTTCCTCCATGAGAGCTTTTAAGCACGAATGCACGAGCTAAAACGCGTACAAAATTAGAGTTTCACTATAGAACTTATCCATTAAGCATTTTAGGTGATTGTAAAAATAATTAAAAATAATGGGTCTGTTTGGATTGTTGTTTGTTTATATATTGTGGTTTTGTGTGTTTATTTAGGATAAATTTTAAGAGAATTTAAAACGTTTTAATTTGACAAAAAAAATATTTTCGTTAATTATCTTTGACCGCTACCAGACGCTGCTTCGTTAGCAATGCTACCACTGGACCGCAACCGAATACTCAAAATTTCAACGAAATTGCTATGTGCAAAATTTTTTGCCCCACCTAATATCGGTGCCTGGCTCCGCCCCTGAGCTGACAGAGACACCTCTATTTGGGTTTTCTTTTCTTCTTTTTAAACTTGTTTTATGTGATGAACTTGCTGTGATGAGTAAAAGAAAATTTGTCTTATCTATTGGAAAATTTTGGAAATATCACTATTAACATGATAAGAAAGAAATTAAGATTAAACTTTGTTGTGGTGGCAGTATCCACTCACCAATTAATTGTTGTTGGGAGTTGGAGTAGAAAAAATTAGACGTAGGATATGTATGGAGTCCGTATCCAGTGCACCCGGGTGTATCGTAGATCCCCCCACCAAACACACGCGCTACACGCGCTCAACTGTTTTCACCTTTACATTAAAATACACAAATAAAATGGTTTTAATCCATTTTACTGTTTTCATCCTCACACACAAACACACACAATCACTAGTTTCGCAAACCCCCCGCCGATTATCACCACCGCAAGGAGAGTCTGTTAATTAAAGAAGCAAACGGCATGTTAATTGGGGGGCTTCGCCCCCCATAATAAACTAAATGACTCCCGCGGCTATCGGAATAGCAGGTCACCAACCTGCTCTGGCTGCGCTGCGCCGCCCCGCTGAACACGCCAATGTAGCTAAGGTAATCCTTTTTTCGTGTGTGTGTAAAGAGATTGTGTGTGCAAGGAGAGTGTGTTATTGCGTTAAGAGGGGACACGAATTATTTATATAAATCCCCCCATGATAAACTAAACGACCCGGTTGTGCTGATGCCCGCGGCTGCGCCGCCCCCCCTGCCGAACACGGCAAATTTCATAAATAGTATTTAATTGAATGAGGGGCATTTTGCCAAATGATGGAGAACAAAAAATGAATGAGGGGCAGTTTTCCAAATGATGGAAGGTACGTTCAATTGTGTATAACTAATTATCCATATTATCAATACTGGTTATCCCACTGCGTATAACTAATTATCCATAGTGCCAACACTAGTTATCCATATTGTGAACACTGGTTGTCCATAGTGTGTAGCTGGTTAATGTGTATAACTGAAAAGTCACTCGTTTTGTAATTAAATAGAATTTAAATACTTCTATAAATCCCCCGTGATAAACTAAACGATCCGTCTGCGCCGGTGCCCACGGCTGCGCCGCCATTCGCGGCTGTGCCGCCCCTATGCCAAACATGACAAATTTAATAAATAGTATTTAATTGAATGAGGGGCAGTTTGCCAATTCAAACTGGTTGGATAACCAGCATAAACACAATGGATAACCAATTTAAAATAACCACTTGGTTATCCATCTTGTAAAACTGGATATACACCTTCATTCTGCCCATCAGAATTTTGTCATTTTTAAGCCCGAAAAAAATATTTACTATGCATCTTGTTGAATAGATCTCGACGAGTACAAAACAGTTGGATAAGCAGTACAAACAAAATGGATAACCAGTTCAAATTGGTTGGATAATACTGTAATTTAAAATAAATATATTGGATATCCAGTACAAATCAGTTGGATATCCAGCAAATAAAATTTGGATAGGCATGTAAATCCGTTGGATAACCAGTACACATAAGCTGGATATCCAGTACAAACAAGTTGGATATCCAATACAAACAAGTTGGATATTCATACAAATTTCATACAAGTTGGAAAACCAGCACAAAACGAGTAGGAAAACCAATAAAACAAAAAAAAAAGTTTCATAATCAGTACTTCGCATCGTCTATCCATGTTTACCACAATCAACAAAAAGCATATCCGCATATCCGTCTAAATAACAAACGATATCCAACACAACATAACTGTTTATCCACTTCATACAACATTAACAAAAACTATCAAAAGAAAAATCAAGAAAAATAACATGACACAACTAGATTGATTCTTCTCTCACAAACAGTACACTCCGAAACCTACACAAACCTGATTACAGCGGATCAACAACAGAACTGTGACCTTGCGTTGATTTGCTGGCATAGTAAGATTGTTTGATAGATTTGCTACCACTACATTCCGCATTCATCAAGCCGGAATCCTCAACGAGATAACTCATCACTCGATCTGAACTCAGCATATCGTCGATCCAATCATCGTTTCGCCACTCTTGTGGAATCGGAGCCTTTCCTTGATCGCTGAACGCCGTCGTCGTCTCAACGACTCGATCACCACCGGCCGTGTTCACCTCAACGCCTCGATCACTGACTCCCATTGCCGCCTCAACGCCTCGATGGCCGCCGGCCGTCGCCCAACAATAATACTCCATCACAAAGTTTTCAAAATTTGAATAAATTCGATAATTTATATAGGTCACGTTTAAAAATAAAAAAGAAAAAGAAAGCTGAATTATCTAGCGAACTCACGCTATTCTAAGAGAGTAAAGTATACGCGCAGGGGTTATACGGTGCCTCCGGGTATACCAGATAATTTGCCTACGTATGTAGGATTGTTCGTATTGGTTTAAGTGTAAATCAGCAATTAACAGTATGCAATCCAGTTTTAAGCCATGCAATGATGTAAGAGTTGAGGATATACGTCTATATTCATTAATCAAATATTTGACTTCGATTTCACAGAATTTGACCTATAGTCTGATTGCAAACTCGGAAAAGATTACATAAAATTTCTGTGAAGTCAAGCATGGCGGCTCATGCATGCCCAATTAGCACTACAAAAAAAATGGGCTTTGGTGACCAATAGTTTCTGATCACAAAAATAGCCTTTGTTGACCATGTCTAGTCACTAACACTCTTTGGTACCCAACTAGTGACCAACCTTTGGTGGGTCGACTAAGCCTCATCGCTAAAGCCCTTAGGTGACCAACTGTTGAGATTGAGCGACCATGTGAATAGCTGGTCACCAATTATATTGGTCACCAAACTTTTGATGGGTAGCCCGGGCAGCTCATTTTAGTGACCGACATGAAGACAACTTAATTGGTCAACAATTTTGGATTTTTGTGGAATTATTAGGACCACTTCCTTGGTCACTAAAATTGTAAAATCAAAAAATAAATAAAAATAATAAATTTGGCATTCATGACCATTTTTGGTCTCAAATCTCTTGTTAATCACCATGACCAAATTTTTGCTATTATAAATTAGAAACGACGAAAATTATTTGCATTAAATATAGTGAAGAAAGAATTATAACTAAAACTATCAATTACATGACATCCGAGTAGAATAATCAACAATTCTTACGGATTTAACTTAAAACTACTACTATAATTTAATAGAGTATTTAATCCATAATACATATGATGTTCACAAAAGTTCGACGTACTACCTATTCTAGTTGAAATAAGAAGGCAAACTACTCCGCATACCAACCATTCTTGTGTACCTCAAAGGGCAAACACCTTAACAACCTGAAAAATGAACCAATTCACCTTTAAAGAGAAGCATTTTCCTTCATTCATAAAAGAAAAACTAAAGGAAAACCAAGTGAGTGGTAACACCTCTATATCAAGAACATACAAAATATTCCCTTAAAAAAAACAGAGAACGAAATAAAAAGACATAACATATAAGATACACGTAAGCAAAACCCAAATCTACATAAAGAAAGAAAAAAAGCCTACAACACAGTTTCAACAAAAAATGAGAAAATTATATAATATTAATGAGTTCATGATGTTTTGATCACATGATCAAATTGAATGTATTACATTCAATATAATTCAATATAATACAAGCAACTTATTCTTTAACTCCTACTTATGAAATGTTCTGGTGAAATGTTTCACAAATAGTGCAAATAAAAAATGAGCTTAGACGAGGTTCAAGTTACAAACAGATAAAAAGTCATAAATTGGCTCCTATTCAGAATTCAAACATGATCACCAAGCATAAACACTCATCAAATACTCCAAAGAAACAGGGCATAGAAACTGAACCTTAAAATGAGATTCCATGTAAAGCAAGATCTTCAGCCAAACTCAATTTCATCTCCACAGTATCTCTGTGATGCAAAAGCAAGGTGCTATCATCTAAATCGCCCTACAAAATTTTGGACGTTTGATGATTCAATACCTCAACAAAAGAGGGCATTGTTATTAAAGTGCATGAAAGGAAATATAATCACTTCCATTAAAAGAAAACTAAAAAACCAGAGAGTAGGTAGAATGTGTAGTAAGTAGATCTTCGAAGAGAAAATCAACTAACTTATGATTTATATTTTTGCTTTGTGCATCAGAAAATTCATCTTCAAGATGTAGCATTTTGCAGCTCCACAAGGTATTGCTCATTTAGGACCAGCAGCTCCACAAGGTATTGCTCATTTAGGACCAGCAGCTCCAAACTGTCAGATGCTCCTGGTTCCTTTTCCCCTAAGAGGAACAAGACAAAAAGAAACAACAATCGCATTTAGTAATTAGAATTAAGAATCTTTTCATTTAATATTTTCAAAAAATTAAAAGAGCACATAGATGTGCACCTGAGAGAAGCTGCATAATAACAACCGGCTTACTTGTACAGTATTTTTTGCTGCCCACATAGACAGCACAAGTTGCACATACATATTGCCATCAGCTAACAGTTGATGTTCTGAGCCATTGCGCCATGCTCACTATCGTAAAAGGAACTCTGGTATCAATTTGAAGCATGAATAAACTGATACAGTTATGCAGAAACAGAAAAGTGTATCACACAAAGCAAGAAAGAACTTCATAATAAAAGAGTCTTTCAAAGATTTTGCATTGTAAGGCTCTGCTGAACAAAATTCTTTTTTATCACTCCATATTAATTAAATGGAAGGCTGTTCACAAGTCAGGGATGAAATTTGGCAAAACTATTCAAGTGCAAATCGAATAAACTATGGGACAGAGGAGACAGAGAAAGAATGATGCAACAGATCAAAGCTTATGCATTTCTACAAGAGCATTTCTACAAGAGCTCAAGGATAATTAATCAACAAATGAGAGCAAGTAGATTGAAAACAAACCTAATGGGTCCTCATCTACAACAAAAGGTGCAATTATAGTGTTACTGGATATATTAATTAGTGCTTCGTTGCTTCCTGTAGATTAAATATCAATGACTTTCAGCTAGATAATACCATTGAAGCCCAAGAATGCCACATGCCAAAAAGTTAAATGAGTAAACACAGGGCAAGTAGCAAACCTTGGTGCGAGCTTGCAGCAGAATGATTTGCAGCAACTTGGGCCATAAGATCACTACCGAAAATTCTTAAACTTTTAACAGTAGCGAGTTGTCTATTGTAAGTTAACAATCTGTTTCCTGCGGTAAACACAGGGCAAGTAGCAAACATAGGTTCGAGCTTGTAGCATAATGATTTGCAGCAACTTGGGCCATAGGATCACTACCGAAAATTCTTAAACTTTTAACAGTAGCCAGTTGTCTATTGTATGTTCTATCAACCAAACAGAAACGTTTACTTAAGTCACACATGAGATAAAGCAGACATGAAAAACTTCAACAAAACGAATCAGAAAACTTCAATGAAGTTGTAGCCAAAAACAAAAGAGCAATTAAAGCAAGCGGTAGATGGCTTCGTTTACCCAACAGAGCACATTTTACAAACTCAGCACCAAATAGAATACTAATATAATCATCAATACTAATGATAACAATGATTCATACATAATTGAATACTTCACTGAGACCATAAAGCAATCGCTCAGCAAAATTCACAAAACGACAGATTTGTACAAAGTTTACTGGTTACCTTAATGTAGACATTTTTTGCAGCTTTGTCCTCCTACATAAGAACTCTAACAGCACCAGAGAATCTGCATTCTACAACATTCCGAATTGCCATCCTAGTTGCCCTTGTGAAGTTTCTTCAAAATTCTTCCTGCAAAAGGAATTCGAACCATTTTGACGGATTAATATACACTACGGATTAATATATGCTTCAATTGCATCATATTTATCCTCACATTTGTGATTTCTGAAAGTATGATATGCCAGTAAAAACAAAAACTAAGAAATCTATACCTTCAGTGATCCTCCCAATTCTTCTAGGGACCAACCAATGACTGATTCTGAGGTATGTACTAAAGATTGATTATCCTCAATAAACTGAAAATCCAAAAACCTGCACTCGAAGGAAGCAACTTCAAAGTTAGTGACAAAATTAACTTACAAGTACCACTTAATACCCCAATAAATAAAATAGACAAAAAACTGACAAATCAAATGGTTATCTTGACATCGAACAATCCTATTATAGATACCCTAAACGAAAAAACATCAATTAATCTTGTAACAGTTTCATAGCAGCATGGTTTTTTTTTTTTTTTTTTTTTTTTGCAACTGAAGAGAATCAAAAAACAAATAGTTGCGGAATCATCCCTTTTCAGAAGAAGTTAGTCAGGAACAAGCAACACAATCTTTTTTCTAATTGGATTATGCGATTAGAGAAGGCTTCTAAAGGGAAAAAAAAATCAAATCTACATTCCCTATCATTGCATCTGAACATTAAGTGCATGTTGAGATAGCCATTAGTATAAAATAAAATTATATAAAAAAAACAGCAGCGAGGATGATTGACCTAAGGTGCGGGTGGCAATTATCCTTCTTTTCCCTTTTTTTTTTCTTTTCTGTTTGTTTCATTACCTTTGGCCATAGGCCTTTCTTATTCAAAACAATTTTAGTTAGCTAAGTAACAAAATACAACATTAAAGCTATGGCAGTGGGCATGGAACTTAGGGACTTATTGAATTTAAATAACCAACAAGCTGGTCTACAAACCCGCATCGACCCGACACCAAGTTCTCCAATTTAGTTTGAAAATTAAAGGAAAAAAAAGATCTTTACCCGATTGTCATCATCGTGGGCTGCTGCTTTCTGTTTATATCTTTCAATTGGACAGAAAAGTGAGGACTTCTCACTTTGTATGAGATTGAAGTTGCCATTTCTTCAAACACCGCCAATCTCTTGACATCAAACCAAAGTGGGCGACTCCGTGCAGATCTGACCCAGCCTTCAACCCATCCAGATCCACTTCCTTTGCCGGTGTTTCTTGTGGATCCCCCATCTGTAGCAGATTGCCTTGAGAAGTAAAGAAATGACTGCACGAGCAAACAGATTCGACGGTTTCGATGGCACCAATAAGGGAAGGCAAGGTTGTAATTTGTTGGGGGATTTGAATGGTGGGTATTGAAGGGAGAAAACATATTATTGTTTCTCTAGATGGCGGAGAAAGGGGGCGAGACCACCGGTATCAATGGCGCCGACGACGCACACAACAGATAGGGAGAGGGAGGAGGCCGACCATGGGGTGGGTTTGGGGGGTTCTAAGCTTTGAAGTTAAAGTTTAGGGGGTAATTTGATTTTTTTCAACACTTGTACAGTGTATATATTCAAGTGATTTACATATTTTTGTTTTGGACCCATAAATGAATAAATTCTAAAATGAACCCCGTTTATATTCTATAATGAACCCTTTAGTTCCTTATTTCATTTGTCGACCCTAAAAGATGCCTAATGAATTTCAATAACGCCCTTAAAAATATTTTTAGAATTTTAATTGAAGACAAATAATAATAAATTTTCTAAATACGATATTTTACTATTAAAAATATAATATTAACTAGTGCATGATTCATCACCCTTTGTAGCATAGTAATCTTTATTTTTTTTCAAAACTGGTTATTACTAATATAAAATTATAGTTACTAACCATTTCTAAGAATGAATAATATAATAATAACTAATAAACCTTTACCATTGTTATTTCATTAATTGTTATTGCTAATATGCTATAATATCTAACATTGTGATTACTTCATATACAATTTCTTCAATTCATCTACATTATACTTAATAATGATCATAATTTCATCTATTTATTGTTATTTATGAGTTATGAAGTAATGAACTATATAATAAGTCATGAACTATAAAGTGGTGGTAAAACTGTATGGTTTAATATCTATACTCTACCTTATGTAGTGTAACTTTAGTCTGTCATAATGATGTATATTCATTTTTAAGACTAACTGAACATCGTTTGTTTAGAATATGATTTTCACGGAGTAGATTAATATGATTTTCATGAAACTTATTAGAAACTTAAAAAGTGAAAAACATGTGTATGAAGAAAACTACCTAATAATATCCCTATACAAACACGTTGTATTTTGTGGGGATTTATTTATAAAATATTAGGGCGCCACAGTGTGATAATTATAAAATTAAGGGTACAAAATGAAAATATACTAACTAAGGCCCAAATACTTAATAAACTTGCAAGAATTGGGCCTAACTTATAATTTGGCCCAGTACCTATAAGAAGTCTAGTTGTTTTTTTTTCTCTTTTTTACATTAATCGTAGCGATTACAAATAACGGCAGTAGTCATCAAACTTTAACTGCTAATCTATTGCGATATCCATTTCAGTGATCATTTACTAGTATTGATTCCATTTCAGTGATCACTGGCAATAAATTTCTAACCACAGTTGGATATAAATTATTTTTGGAAAATCAAAGATGGCAAGTTTTGATTACCACAACAAACTCTTTGATAGAAGCCTTTCGATAAAAGTAGAACCAACCCTAACTAATTTTCAATGGGATAATTAAACTCAAAACATTCTGTAAGAGTAAGTGTGATTTTGACCTTAAACTAACACTTCTTTCTAAATAGTTGTTTTAACACATGCTCAGAAGTAGATAAATTAAGCATGTAAAATGTTCATAAGCTAACAAAAATCACGAAATTTGAGTGTAAATTCAAAAAATAAAAAAAAACTTAGTTTTAAAAATAAATTAACCTCTGCTTTTCTGCAAAATAAATTAACCTTTGATGGTCACCAAATTTAGGAGGGAAAATTTCCCTCCAAATATTTGGAGACAACTCAAAATCCGGGCAAAAATAAAGTGGCGGGTCTATTTCCCTCCATAACTTAGTGACCAAGAAATTGGTCACTAAAATTTTTTCTGTGAAATGACCACAAAGAATGGTCACCAAACAAACATAGTCACCAAAGACTCAGTTGGTCACCACTTATAGTCACTATTTTAGGATTGTTTTGTTCTTGCCACAAATTAGTGACCATATTTGTGACCAAGTTCTTCTCATGGTCACTAAATTCATTTGATGACCAAAATTTCAAGACTAAATGAAGAAGGTAGTCACCAAATACCAAAAAAGGTGACCAACTTTCGGCTCATCACAAAACAATTGGTCACCAAAGCCCTTTTTTCTGTAGTGTAGTCAAAAAGGAAAGAAAAAAAAATTATACCATCTGTTCACTTGTGTTTGTAATAAGATAATTTGTTTTACAAGTTATACCTATAAAATCAAATTTACGTTCAAGCCAAGCATATTAATATCATGAAAAAACATAATTAAATATTATTTGAACCGTTTCAAAATTAGATGTTGTATTTGTGAAACCTAATATACCTGGGCTATACTGATCGATTTTGATTTTGTTTGACCACGTAATTACTTCCAATAATGCTTTATCAGAGAACAAAAATACTAATCTAGTTTTGTATTAATAACTGAAGCTCTCGCTCTTCTCCTACTTCAAACGCAAGAGTACAAAAATTATTATACTGAGTTAAGTGTGATGACAGCATAGTATTGATACTAATTAGAATTCTAATCAAGTCTAATTAGGTTGACGAGCACCAAATTGTGAGTTCTTTTTGTTTCTTTTTTTGGTTAACCAAGTATTTTTTTTATTGTACCTCTAATTTCTAGCAATTAGCTAGGCCCGGCTCTGGATCTGAGTATTCTATTTCACGCATATTTTGATGAATAAATCAAATACTTTCTCTATATATCCAAGCCCCTCCGTTTTTTTGTAACAAAAATAGGAGGATTGAACCATCTATCATCATTTTAATTACATTTCGATGATGAACAGTTGTTACAAACAACCTGAAAAGTTCTTGATTTATTTGCTCCAATGCACTGCTTACATCCTTAAGTTTGAGGCTGTTGCCAAACAATCCGTTGTATAGTTTGCTTCCCTTCTTAAAAACCCGTTTATTTAATCGGGAACAGAAATGCAGGAATTGCTGTAGCTGTATTTTAATATTTTGCTTTGGAAATAAGGGTACGTTTGCTTCATCATTATCTTTAGAAATCAGACTATCAGAGTAATGATTCAAATTACACTACTATTAAGTTATGTGACCCGATAGTAAAGTTTTAGACATAAGTCAAAAGATAGCTCTTATTCATATATAGCATTTCGTATGTCATATGCTCACAATACAACGTTATTATAAAGAGCTACCTGTAGCTGCTAAAAGCATATTCATACTACTAAGTTTAGGGCTCATTGGCATCAACAACGTCACCATGACCACCGCCATATCCGCCCCCGTTACCATAACCGCCACCGTGTCCGCCACCATGGCCACCACCGTATCCTCCGCCATATCCACCTCCCCGGCCACCGCCATATCCGCCACCATAACCTCCACCCCGACCGCCACCGTATCCTCCACGTCCTCCTCCATAACCGCCACCGTACCCTCCACGTCCTCCTCCATAGCCGCCACCGTACCCTCCACGACCTCCTCCATAGCCGCCACCGTATCCTCCTCGACCTCCTCCGTAGCCGCCACCATATCCGCGATTATATCCTCCACGTCCGTCTTCAGAATACTTGGAGTCCTCAACTTCTGTAGTCACTTCATCTGATTTTGCTGAACATAATATCGATATGCAATTAGAAAAAAATTAGCATTTTCTCAGTAAACAAACTATAAAATGCTGAAATTTTTTTTTTTTAAAACATAAAATTCTTACCTTCATCAACTGGAACGGTGGAAGTCTCAGCCAAGTCCCGAGCAACCACCTCCGTGGTGATCATTACAGCCATGAATAAGGCTATGCAAGCCAAAATGAATGCCTTAGAACCCATGATTATTTCTTCTTTTTTCCCTTTCTTTCTTTTTTCTTAAACTTATCTTATGAACTTGTTGCGAAAGATTGAATGAAAAACTACCCTATTTATAGGTAAATTTAGGACACATTACTGTTTAAATGATAGGAAACAAAATTAGCTAACACATTGAACTTGTGGTTGTCGTAGTATCGACTCAGCAATGTAGTTGGGCGTTGGAGTAGAAAAATTTGGTATGGATGTTGGATTTTGATTATTGGTCTAAGTCTAAATCAGTAATTAATAACTATGCAAACCCTTTTTAGGGCAATCATAAATTGAAGGGATACGTGTAATTTAATAAGTATAGTGTTGACAATTGTTACTTGAATTTGGGTTTGTCTTTAACGTACGTAGGGAGGATAAAGATGATTTGGTTTAGATTATTTATTTCTGAAAGGGAAAGCTATAATGTTCTCAAAATTTTGATGGGAAGCGGAGAAAATACAATTGAAGTTTGTAGAACATTAGTCAAATTTTGCGGCATGCATTTTCAAATGCAAGTGTAAACGTTACACTCTCCAGAATGGACTAGCCATTAATAAGTCTTAATTTTATGACTCTCGGTCATACATATATCCGTCCTCTGAAAAAATACTCCTATTAATTGGGTTTTTCACGGGCTGTTTTGATTTTTATAATTCTTAAATTTCTTCCGCTTTTATTATAATAACTAGTGTTTACCCCGTACAACGTGCGGGTTATTCAAGATACATATGAGGCTAATGATTTAAAAATTTTATGACATTTCTGACGGAGTGAGATATATATATATATATATATAAATACTATTAATGACATAATTGCAATTGTTTAGTTTTTAAAGTCAATGTCTTTTGCTATTTGAAGTACATTTGGAATGCTTTTTAATATTTAAAATATCCATTGTAGTATTAACTATCTTTTTATTTTGTTGATTTATGGTTTTATATCTTCTGAAAGTATTTTTTTAATTTTTTATAATGATTTCTCTAAATATTTCTAGTATTAACTATCTTTGGATTTTTAGCTTGATTTTTTTTTTCACCCCTCTTGTTTACAATTAAAATTTACCTTAAATATATGAGTAATCTCAAAAGTTAGTTTAGTTTTATCCATAAATTTATAATTTTACATTAAAAAATTATCATTAAATGATGGAGTGATATGGTAACGACATGTGGATTTAGATATATAATTTATAAGTAACAAAATATAAAAAATACTTTTATACTATGAAAATTATAATTCAGTATGTTTAATTAAGGGTACTTATTTAGCATATTAGGCACATTATTGTTAGTCATAAATTAATTTAGTAAATTGTGTGATAATATTCAGATATTAATTTACTAAGTTTTGTTCCTCATCATTTAGAATAAGATTGATTTTTATGTTCATCTTTTATGAATTTTTTCCTACCTATCCGCTAATTTAGACATAGAGCTCCCAATCTCCGATCATTATGTTTTTTATTTTCTTCCTTTTTGGATAATGGGAGACATATACATGGGAGGGTTTGTTAGTTTTCGTAATTCTTTTAATTTGATGAAATTTTGGAGCTTTTAATAGAAAAATTAAACCAAGTGAAATTGGTTATTTATATATTTTATGGATTTACAAATAAAAAATTACCATTAAATGATGGACTGATGTGGTTGCGACATGTGAACTTGGCTATCTAATTTTACGCCATGTGGATTAGTTTATCTAGAAAAACGCTACTAAAGTTTCACGATATTAAAACCATTACAAGAAAAAATATTAGTATGATTAAAATGATTTAATATAAGTTTGCCATTCCATGTTTATTTGAGCAGAAAATTTAACTGTTAGATACATTTGACCATTCTGATCTTAAGCTTTCAACCTAAAAACTTTATTTTGGAGTTTTTTTTTTTTTGTGAATTTGTGTCTTAACTTCAATCTCATATGTTTATTATTGTAGTTGATCTCGGCTTTAACTTGTATTTTTTACTTTTACTAATGGATTTTACATCATTATCAATTATCTTTTTTTAAAAAAAAATAAAATTAACAATATTTTTTGGTATTTTTTTGCTATTTCCTTTTTTAGTTTACATGTATGGAGTACATAAAAGAATTATGTTTTAAATTTTGTAAAGAAATAAATTACAATGTTTCTAATTGTATTAATAAAATTTCCAAAAGGGGTGCGAGAATGACTAATCACATTTTTTTACCCAATAATTATAATAATAACAATTGTTAAAAAATTCAAAACCGAGGGGTGCTGCCGCACCGGCTGGCCACCGCCTTGCTCCGCCCCTATACACAAGTACTAAACAAGCAAGACTGGTATTAAATCTAGTTAGCTACAAAAGATCAACTCCTCCTATTCATGACTAATGGACTAAGATTAAGCCTTTTGCACCAGGTTTGTACTCTAGTCACTTTAGGAACCCTTTCAATTGAAGCAAATCTAATATTTAGATGGAAGACAATCTCTCATTCTCTCTGATAACTTTGGACTCTTCAGATGGCTCGTTCTTGAACACACAATTATTCCTTGCTCTCCAAATGTAATATATTGTTTTTTTTTTTGGTAAACTGTGAATTCTATTTCTTCATGAAACAAAGGATTTATAAGGTGTTCTGTACAATCAATGTATTCCTATACTTTCTAAAAACCGTATATCATCACCACTTCCATTTCTAAATTTATACAAGAATGACCATTTTACCTCAGCTTGCATTTGACCAAACCTACTCCTTGCATCCTGCATCTGGTTTGCAAACTTCCTGGAATTCCTCTCTGTCCATATGTGATGCACTGCTGCATTGATGCTTGCCCACAACACAAGTTTCCTTACTGCTTTATGCTTCCAAATTCTCAGCAGTATTCAAGCATTCAAACTCATGATAACAGTCTGCATTTTCAGCCAGCTCTGAACCAGCCTCATGATTTCAGATGCATAATCACACTGAAAAAGAGGTGTTCTGTTGTTTCTTCTGCTTTGTGACATAACACACATTGCTGATCTTCAATTATCAGGTTCATGTGCACCATTCTGTCCATAGTGAGTAGTCTGGCCTGACAAGCTAGCCAACTGATGAAGCTGTGTTTAGGTACAGAGAATTTACTCCACAAAATAGGGGCATGCAACATCCTGCTCTTGTTTCCTCTCAGCCATTGATAGCCACTTCTTGTATCATATTTCTGTCCTCCATTACTATGCCATTTACCATCAATTAGACCTTCCTTCAGTGTATCTCTAATCTTCATCAGAGTTTTCCAATGCCAACTGCAATTTGCTGGAGCTTGATATTCCCCTATGCTTCTGCCTTTAAGGTAATAATTATGCATCCACTGAATCCAAAGGCTTTCTTTGTTCAATTCTAACTCCCAGATTTGCTTACCTAGCAAGGCTTTATTCCAGGTACCTGGTTCTTTGAAGTTTAATCCACCTTCTGTTTTCTTCCTGCATACATTGTCCCATGCCACCAATGCTCCAGATCTTCCATTGCTTGTTTCCCCCCACAGGAATCTTCTGCAACATGTGGTTATCTGCTAGATGACTGACTGAGGGATGAGGAAAATACTTGACCAATAGCTGTGTAGAGTCAGTAACACAGAGTTGATCAAGACTGTTCTACCTGCATAAGATAATTGTCTGGAAGACCAACACTTAATTCTTGCAGTAACCTTCTCTACTAGGCATTGGCAATCAGCTTTTGTCCATTTAGTTGGTACTACTGGTAGTCCCAAGTACTTCATTGGAAAAGTCCCAATCTCATAGTTTATGATACTTTGAATCTGATCCTTGATTTCCTCCACTGGTCCTCCAAAATAAATGTTGGATTTATTCACATTTACTTTGAGGCCTGTAGTATCTGTAAAGTGTTCCAGTGCTCCTTTGATCTGCTGAATGGTTTTCACATTTGCTCCACTGAAAATTAACAAATCATCAGCAAAACTTAGTGAAGTTATTCCCAGTTTCTCACATTGAGGATGCCTTTTAAACTCCCTTTTATCAGCTTCCAATTTCAGACTTCTTGTTAAGTATTCCATCACCATAACAAACAGTAGTGGTGAAACTGGATCACCTTGTCTCAAGCCTCTCCTTCCTAGAAAGTAGCCTGTACCACTACCATTCAAGTTAAGAGAGTAAGTACAAGTTGATACACATTGCATAATCCATGTAATAAACTTATCTGGAAACTTGTACTCCTTCATCATTTCTTCTATAAAACCCTAGTGGACTGAATCATATGATTTTTTAAGATCCACCTTCATCATACAACTTGGCCTGGAATTCTTCCTTTGATACAATCTTATGAGTTCCTGTGCTAACAAAATATTGTGCAGTATCTGTCTATGTTTCACAAACGCACCTTGGTTCATATCAATCAAGTCAGACAGTACTAGATTTAATCTTTTGCACAACATTTGGAGATACATTTGTACACTGTATTACAGCATGATATTGGTCTATACTCAGTGGCATCCTTAGGACTCTCATTCTTAGGAATCACGGATATCAGAGTTGAGTTTACCTGCTTTAGGATTTTGCCATTCTTGAAGAACTCCAGAACTGCTTCACACACATCATCTCCAATTTCACTCCATGCTGCTTTATAGAATGTACTATTGTACCCATCAGGTCCAGGACTCTTGTTTTGGTCTATGCTGAACAATGCTTCCTTGACATCTGCCTTTGTAAACTCTTTAACTAACATCAACTGCTGATCCACAGTTAGTGTTGTTCCTGACTCAAATACTTCCTTCCTTGCTTCTATTCTTCCCCCTTGTGTTCCAAGCAGTTCTTGGTAGTAATTTAGGAAGTGTTCCTCCACTTTCTGTTTATCTTCCTCCACTACACCTGTATTTGTCACAAAAGATTTGATTCTGTGCCTTATATTCTTTTGCCTGATTGCAGCATGAAAGTATCTAGAGTTCACATCCCCTTCACAGATCCACTTTTCCTTTAGTTTTTGTGCCCAGAAACTCATAACTACCTTGCTAGCTTGAATGTATTCATGAGATATCCTTTTCTCCTCATTGTGCAATGCTGCATTCAATGGATCAAGTTGTAATGCCTCCTGGATTGAAGTCAACTTGATCTTGTATTCCTGCTCAGTCTCTTCTATCCTAGAAAACTGTTTTCTGTTTAACTCCTTAAGTTTTCGCTTAAGTAGTTTCTGCTTCTTTGCCAAAACAAACTGGTAGCTTCCAGTTATCTCATTCCTCCATACATCTTTGACAATCTCCTTAAAAGCAGGATTTTGAGTCCACATATTAAAGAACTTAAAGGATCTTTTCCCTGAACATACTGTATTTCCCCATCTAATTAACATTGCATTATGATCTGACACTCCAGCAGGCAGAATAGTATTGTATGCATCATAACAGCTAAGTAACCAATCTTCATTTACCAATACTCTATCCAACTTGGATATTATTCTAGAACTCCCAATTTGCTTATTTGACCATGTAAACTGACCACCAATTGTCTCCATTTCACTCATTCCAGTGTCTTCAATCATCCTCTTGAATTCCTCTGTATCTGGACTCATATCACTTGTACCTCCCACTCTTTCTTTAGCTTTGATTATGCAGTTAAAATCTCCAAGCATAATCCAGGCTCCTGTTATCTGATTAGCCAATTGTGTTAGTTCCTGCCATAACCCTCTTCTTTTGGAAGCATTGTATTCAGCATAGACCACTGTAACATAGAAGCTCTTCTTGGTATTCAATTCTTTGACTGCCAGATGAATGAATTCTGGTCTAACCTGGCAGACATTGATTTGATATTCCCCTTTCTTCCACATTATCAGTATTCTTCCTTTGCCTTCATTCCCTTCATTACTAACATACTCAAAATGAGGCCATTTCCTGTTCATCATTTCTATCACTTTTTCCTAATTCAGTTTTGTCTCTAGTAGAGCAGCTATTCCTACATTGTTCACTGAGAGGTTAGTATCAACCTCCCTGTGCTTCAGGGGGACTGTTGAGTCCCCTTACATTCCATGAGAGGAAGTTACTCATGATGCCTTTTTGGCTAGGCTCAAAATGTCATTCCTCAATTTGATGAAGTGCTGATTAACAAAAGCGTCCCAATGAGTAGGAAAACTCCAACCATTATAATCACAAATTCCTTGCCAAACATTGTTGAGAAAGAGCACTCAAAAAAGAGATGGTTCCTAGTTTCAACATGCTGATTACAAAGAACACATGAAGTATCAACAGATACATTCTATTTGGCCACATTTACTTTCACTCAAGTCTATCTAACCAACACAACCAAGAAATGAAAGAACATTTCGGGGATGTTAACCTTGTCCACAATAATCTACACCACCAAAGAGAAGGAGGTGGCGGTTCCACAATGTTATAGCATGCTTGTAGTGGCAAAGGATCTCCAGGAGCTAGCCAAGTCACCATATTATTCCTTACTGATACAGATCTCATAGCAGTATCTTTAAGCCTCAAAATCTTTTTTACACACAAAGAAAAAGATTTTTTAATTGGAACCTCCCAAATAGCTGAGGTTACTTTTAGGAAAAGTAGTCACTGAAGGACAAATTATTTCGAAATTATCACAACAGGTGATTAACATTTTGTTTTGATAAGAGAACTATGTCTTATTGTTTTTCTTATTTGGTTAAGATGTTGATTTCATTATCAAGTACAAAGAGTTATTCCACACATCCTTTGGTGACTACTCTCAATTATAGAATCAATTAGGCATTTTGTACTGGCGACTATAGAATGGAGATGTTAAAACTTTGAAAGAACCAGGAACTTTTTGAACGAATGCATGTTATTGTGTTTTTCTTCCTTAGGCAATGCAGGGAAAGAAAATTTACAAGACACAATATGGACACTTAATTACTAAACATAGTCCCTAGATTCTTAAATGGTTCTACAAATCCACACCATACCGGAACCTGAACAGAAGAAATCAAAAGATAACCCCAAAACCAAAAAATTCTTCGCCACAGAGGCCAATTTTATCCTTAATTCTCGCCGCCGCTGCATCTTCCACGTTGGGGGCTGACAAACCCTAAAGCCTCCCGATCCCGGTAGAGCCGGCGAACAGAGTCGAGCAAAAGACCGAGCGACATGATCTTCACTATAGCTTCGGTTACTTCCATCTCTGTTGCCCGATGAAACTAAATAGAGAGAGAAAATAAACTAAACGGAAGGATTCGATTGTTGGATTTATTGATTGTTACGCCTTCCATAATAAAAATTAGACTAATTTGTTAAATTAAAATAAGACAATAAAGTAGACTATGTTTTCAGGAATAAAAGGAGTAAATTTTTTTTTTAAGACATGGTTTATGGGATTATTTGATTTAGATTTTTATTTTACTCTTATTCATTTTGTTAAATGAATATATATCAACGAAGTAATTTTATTTTTCGGGGTCGAAAGTAGAGTATATATGTACATTTGAATAACTTATAGTTTTCATCAATATTATTAAGCGAGCTCTACTAAGATTTCAAAACCAGAATATAGATCTGCGATGGCAAAAACACAAGAGATCCTGTTGCCAGCGGTAGACACCCTACAAATATGCAACAAAAGAATAGGGGACACCGTTGGCCTGATTTTTATTTAAAAAAAATAAAATAAAATAAAGCAGGGCATATAATTTTTTTACAAATCTTTTTTTTTTGGTTACATTTTTGTTCTAGCAAAATAATTTTATTATAATTTTATTTTTACAGTTGAAAAATTCTAGCCCGTCACATAACTGTGCGCTCCCTCCGTTGCAAACAACACCCTTGCATTAATATTATATATATTTCGTATGACTATGCAATTTGTATATTTTTAATTTTATTGTGTTGTTTGAGTTTAACAAAGTGAAAATATTTTTGTTAAACCGAAGGAGCATTGTTATAAGGCTATTATTCAAAAATGGCCTTTTTTTTGTTTGTTTGTTTTGGTACGTATTGAGCATTACTTTATTCTCAAACGTCACCAATAGAGCTAGCTAAATAATATAACTCCAAAGGTTAATTGCAGCTGGGTGGAGAAAATTAATTCCCATGGTTTAGACTTTCTTGTGTATTAAATCATTGTAGATATTAATTAAGCACGTCTTTGTTGTATTTTTTTAGTACTATAAAGGAGGTAAATGTTTGAAATTCTAGGCTATTACAGTAGGTTCGTAAGATACACTCAGTAAATCATGTTAGAGCCAAATTATTACACTATCTGGAGGATCAGCTAACCATATATTATAAGCCGTAGGGCTAGCCATCGCTAGCCTTTCAGAAAATTCTGGTAGAAGTAGACAATTTGGGTGTTGTCAGAATGGCTATAGGGATCGAAGTAGATGTTTATGGTGTGAATCATGACCGTTTGAGATCTTCTGAAGAGAGACTTGGTGCAGCTAAAGCATACACACCGAGAATTGTTGTATTTATAATTCTCTTTGTTCTAAAATATTAATTTTGTTTGATTAAACATTTTAGCCTAATATGAGTGGTAGGACTTCATTTATCTATCATCTCTAATATTCTCTTTCCATGTCATAAAAATAATTAATTTGTTGTATTCTTTTAGTTCAATAAATTGGATTGTTTTACTACCATAGAGAAAAGGAAATGTCAATAAGACATTATTGTTCAGCGATAAAATCATTTTTAGTTTCTAAAAAGTTTAAAATATGGATAACTTGCGCTCCAACCAGTGTCATCACTAAGGGTTTCTTGGAGCAGACTTGCCCATAGCTGGAATGATTTTACCAACAAAAAATATTATTAACAATAGATGTCCTCCATGTGATCAACATTTGGACATGCAAATTCGATAAATATAGGATATAATAGATTAACACAGATTTAATTAAACTGAAGCTCTTATTCTTATTTCAAACCACGCGGTACACAAAAGTTTTATGATTACAACGAGCTTCTAACAAAACCATATTCATTATGCCACCAACTTTAGGGCTCGCTAGTAGCCTCACGAGCTTTGGCACCATATCCGCCATAACCTCCGCCACCACCATAACCACCACCATAGCCGCCGCCATATCCACCACCACCGCCATAACCACCACCATAACCGCCACCACGGCCATAACCACCGCCTCGGCCGTAGCCACCATACCCGCCACGTCCATAACCGCCGCCATATCCTCCGTACCCTCCACGACCGTACCCGCCACCATATCCGCCATATCCTCCATATCCTCCGTATCCACCATATCCTCCATAGTGCTTGGATTCCTCAAACCCGGAAGCACTCTCAGTCGTCTTAGCTGCCCAATATATCATAAAAAATAGTGATTAATTTCGTGTAAAACATTGGGAATTTCGAAGAAATAAGTTTAACAAATGGAAACAACATATAGTAATCACCAGAAAGTTGCATAACTTACGTTCATCAGCTTGGTTGGAAGCTTCCTCGGCTAACTCCCGAGCTGAAGCCATCTCCGAGGTGATTATTAAAGCCATGAAGAAAGCTATGCAAGCGAAAATGAGTGCCTTAGAGCCCATGATTAATTCTTCTTTTTGTCTTTTTACGTGATAAAGGAAAATGTTTAGTTGAGAAAGATTGAACGAAATGGATCCAATTTATAGGAAAAATGAATGGGTAAAGATATGGTTTCGGAAATGGAGAGAAAAAAGAAGAATGAATTATCATTAATAACTACAGTTGGGAGTTGAAGAAATCGATCGGGTGATATATGGGGGAATATTGTTGTTGTTATTTGGTACAAGTCCAAATCTGCTATTAATAACTCGGCTTAATTAAAGTCCATTCTATTTTAGCTAGGGAAGGGAAATTGAAGAAATGAGGATTATATAGAATTTATTTTCTTCTATAATTATTTATGCTATGTTTCATAGGGTTGACAAAATTGTGCAGGAAGGTAATATGATGTAATCCTGATTTTGGACTGTTTTATATCTAAAATCGCTATAATTTTCGGAGTTTGATGCAAAGTGGAAGAATTCGCATGCATGGAGTTGGAGAACAAGTTTTGTTTTGTATGCAAAGTCAAAATTAAATATTTACAAATTTCTAGAGTTTGCTATTTTCATGTTAGGAAACAAATTTTTCAGGTTTAAGTCAATCACACTAGACGGAAACAACAAACTAGCGGACCTTCTCAGGATGAACTCGTAAAATGTTTGTCGTCACTTAAGCATAATTAAAAATGATATCAATTCTTTTTTGAAAATCCGAACATACTCTATTTATATTCGTGTCTATAACACTATTTAAATTTTGCTAGATGTCCGAAAAAGATATTTTGAAAATTAAGGATCCACACTCGAGTGACAATTAATTAATCAATGTGTGATGTGTGTTGGAGATTTGTTTTCTTGTATTCTAATTACATGACAATCGGGAACAATTAAACTTATGTCCTATGATTCAAAATAGCCAAAAGAAAAAGAAAAGAAAAAGAAGCTAAACAATGAAGCTAGAATTTTTTTATAATTTTTAATTTTTTCATTTTACATAAACAGTTGAAACTGTTTTGCTCAAGTGTAACTAGTCTTGATCTCAGCGTCAAGATAAAGATGATTGAGTGAATTTTCATTGTTATTCCTCGGGAGCTGACTAGTGTACATCGTGGAGCTAGAAATTGCAATCAGGAATGGTGAAATGACAGTTTTATCTGCTTAGCGCCTTAGCGGGGCAAAATTATAACTTTTCCAAATTTTAAACTTAAAATTTGTTCCCGTCCTTAATAAAAAAAAGGTGGTGCCTGACCTGTCTAGCTAATTGATTAATTAATTTTTTTTTGCTTAAGCTAATTAATTTATTAATCTGTAATGGCATTCGTTTCGTAGTAGACATGTCTTACGTGTACATACAATCTGGTAATTAATTAAGGAGAATGTTACCTCTTCTTAGAGAAAATATCTCTTAATCTTCAGTGGCAATTAACTTTGTTTGGAAACTCATGAATAGCAGTTTGAAATCATATTCATTTGTAGAAGGGTTAATGAATACTAGGTAAAGCTCGATATCTGTTTCATAGTTAGTGGCATGTACCAAACGAACCTGGAAAATAATCTGGCTTTTATATTTTCTTAATCCTTCCGCGTCCAAAAGAACAATTTACATTGTATTTGATAATTTGTACTAAAACCAAGTTTTATGAGACACAAGAAGTATGATTATACCTACTCAATTCCGTGAAAACCAACAAACACAAGGCAAAATCACTCTACAGGAGTTGCACATCATAATTTAATGTGATTTGATATATATTACTAAATTTACATTCTACAAGATATCTACCACGATATATAATTTTCGAAAAATAGAAAAATTTATAATGTATGTTCTTTCTCTAGCCCATAATGTCTAGCTCTCGATCATTTTTTCTCCTCCCACATCTTTTCCTGCCTCTATAATTCGAGAACTCTGTTAATTACGATAGGTTAATAATGACCCACTCTCTACGGGGTTTGGGACATGAGGAGATAACTCAAAATTAGTTTTTTCGTCCTAACATTGGTTGTTTGTAACAACACTGTTGTAATCGAAAAATTACATATGTTAGCCTTGAATCTCTAAATAGCCTTTCTATATTCTGAAAAGTTGTGTTTAAGGAAAAAATTTCCAAAAAAACGTTGTTGGCGAATCCATTAATTTGCCTCATTTGGATGGGTGATTTACTAGCAAATTTTCAAATTCGGATAGGTCTTCTTCCAAGATCCCTTACCATTCCTATGACTGCATTCTAGAGTAGAAAACTGATGGTTTAACACCATTTCTAGGACATTTCATTAATTAGTTCTTACACATACGTATTTCTACCATCAACACTTAAATCTGCAAAATTTTACTATAAAATTTACAATCAACACGTCCCAGTTTTTTATCGTTATCACTACAAATAATCGATGGCATGTATGGCCATGTTAATGTAGAAACGCAGTTAGGATGATTACGTCTTAGTAGTGCATTTTGTTCCCTCTTTCTTGGGGGTTGGGGTTGTTTTTCATAATAATACTTTTAAAATATTTTCGACACCAACTTTAGATAACGTAATAAAAAAAGCTCGATCGAGCTCTTATTCATATAATATAGCAATTCACATGTCGTGAAATCGTAATACAAATTTAATGCAAAAGAGCTACCATGAACTTGATAGATGAAAGTACATATTCATCATGCATTCTACTAAGTTTACGGCTCATTGGCCTCACCAACGTTGGCACCAATACCGCCTCCATTACCGTACCTACCGCCATGTCCGCCACCATATCCTCCACCATTGCCATAACCGCCGCCATATCCACCACGACCACCACCGTATCTATTACGGATGTAATTACCTTTGTATATTTACGGTATCATATTACCGAGTTACGGCATATATAGGCTTGTTGTATCAAACCCTAATACATGATTTTGATCAACTTTTCAAGTCTGTATATGTTGGCCGCCTGTACCTTTGCTGATTTCTCATGGTACAGAGCAGGTATTAACATTTTTTTTTCAATTGCTTCACGTTCTTCAGTCAAGCAATGTCGGAACGTGCTGATGATGAGACTTTCAATTCCTCCGACGACGTTGCCATCCAAAACCATCTCCCCCTATGACATCACCTCCAACGACAGTACTGGCCAAACCATCACCCATGTTCAATTAAAGAGTGAATCCAATTATGATGAATGGTCCAAGGCAGTGATGATTGCTCTCTGGCGAGAAAGAAGTTTGGTTTTGTTGATCGGTCGATTCCGAAGCCACGCAGAGCTTCCAATTTGGAGGATTGGTGGACCATTCAATCCTTGATCATGTCCTGGATTTTGAACGTGATTGATCCCTCAATTCGTTCGACCACTCCGCAGAAAGGAGTTTCCGCCGACTTGTGGGATCATCTGAAGCAGCGTTTCTCAGTTGTTACGGGTTCCCGAGTCCAGCAATTGAAGTTTGAATACTCCGTCGAACACTATTATGGTCGTCTTCAGAAAATTTGGGACGATATTGGTGATACTGACTGTCCGTCGGTTTCACCCTTGTGTGCCCCTTGTCAGGTGAGGATGGCCGGCGTTCTGGAGCTTCATTGAGAGACCGAGAAGCTTCATCAGTTCTTATTGGGTTTGAATGCTGATTTATACAGCTCTGTTCATTCCCAATTGTTGTCAACCGAGACATTGCCGACTCTCGCTCGTGCATACTCGCTTGTTGTCCAGGAAGAAAAGCTTCGTTCGGCGCCGCAAAAAGATCTTCCCGCTGAGATTATGAGCTTCACCGTCAATTCTAGAGGTTCTCGCCCGTCTGCACATCCCCGAGGTGAAATTGCAGCTGCGGTTGTTTCGAAAGCCAAGGGGCGTGGCTCCAATCAGGTAATTTGTTCCTACTATCACAAACCCAACCATGATGCCTCCGAATGCTATCAACTTCGTGGGTATCCCGAGAATCACACCGGCGGTCGTGGTCGAGGATGGGGCGCTGGCGGAACGAATCGACCTGCAAATCCAATCGGTTCTACTTTTTCCGGTTCACTTCCTTCAGGTTTGGTTTCATCCGATTCACTTGTTCCGGTTCAGGCAGCAGCCCATACTACTTCGCTTCACTCAGCCGGTTTTGGTTCGGCTGCTCAAACCGGTCTCACCCAAGACAAATGGACCACTCTACTTAATCTCTTGAATTCGGTTAATTCTGGGTCAACTTCTAAATTGTCTGGTAAGCATTTTTCTACTAGATGGATGTATGACTCGGGCCACTTGTCGTATGACGGGTTCTATTGATTTTTTTCACGACATTCGCGATATTGCTCTGGTTCCCGTACACTTGCCCAATGGTCAATGTGCCTATGCTACTAAGGCTGGTTCTATTGTTTTGAGTACCATGATGGTGTTAACCGATGTTCTCTATGTTCCTCAATTATAGTGTCATTTAATCTCGGTCTCTCAACTGCTGCGCGATTCCTCTTATATTGCTCATTTTACTCATCATTTGTGTCATGTACATGACCTAAATTCGAGGACGCTGATTGGAGCGGGTTAGCAATGTGAGGGGCTTTATTTTTTTCGGGACCTCGAAACTGTTGCAGCGGCATTGGCTACTGGGTTATCTTCCTTTGATTTGTGGCATCAGTATTTAGGTCATCAGTCCCTGAAGGTTTTAGAATTGCTTCCATCTGTTGGTCCTAGGAAAGATAGTAGTCATTTCAATAAGGCCTGTGATGTATGCTTTCGGGCCAAACAGTCCCCGTGCTACTTTTCTTACCAGCTTTACTAAAACTCATGCTATTTTTCAAGTTATTCACTGTGATCTTTGGGGGCGATATCGCATTCCCTCTTTTTCTAGTGCTAGATATTTTTTGACCATTGTTGATGACTACTCTCGTGCTATATGGATTTATTTGTTAGTTGATAAGACTGCAGTTTCTGTGACATTGCATAATTTTTTCGCCATAGTTGCACGCCAATATGATACCTCTGTGAAAACTATTCATAGTGATAATGACACTGAATTTACCTGTTTGGATGCTTATTTTCGTGAGCATGGAATATTGCATGAAACCTCTTGTGTTGGCACTCCTCAGCAGAATGGGCGTGTGGAACGTAAGCATTGACATATTCTCAATGTTGCTCGTGCATTGCGTTTCCAAGCCCACTTGCCTATTGAGTTTTGGGGTGAATGCATTCTTGCTGCTGGTTATCTTATCAATCGAAGTCCTTCTAGTATTTTGCAAGGCAAAAATCCTTGCGAAATCTTGTATGGAAAGCCACCCTCTCTTTCTCCCTCTGCGTGTTTTTGGTTTCTTATGTTATGTGTATAACCAGAGTCGAAATGGGGATAAGTTTGCTACTCGGAGTCGCAAGTGTATTTTTGTTGGTTACCCCTTTGGGACAAAGGGATGGCGTGTTTATGATTTGGAATCTAGAAAATGTCTTGTCTCGTGGAATGTTGTTTTTTCTGAGGTTGAGTTTTCGTTACAGTCCGCTTTACTTGCGGTTGACAATTCTCCCCTATTTCCTCCATCTCCTGGATTGGATTCTGATGATGAGTCCTCTGGCTCTCCTGATCCCGTGTCTTTACCGGGGATGTTTTGGTTGGGGATACCTCTGATCCACCCTCTTCCATGGTTAGGGGGGGTCCGAGTTCTAGTGGGTCCCCAGAGGAACTCTTGGGTCGCGGACATTGCATCAAGTTTCGGTCTACTCGTCTTACCGATTTTTTGGCGCACAGAGTTTCTCCCAATCGCCCCTCTTTTTCTCCCCCTGCTTCATCGGTTCCCTCAGGTTTGTCCCATCTTTTACACAAATATGTGAGTTGTGCCTCTTTTTCACCCTCGCATCGTGTTTTTTTGACCAGTGTTACTGCAGGTGTCGAGCCTCGTACTATACGGAGGCTATGCATGATTCCCGCTGGCGTGCTACAATGCAACAAGAGATTCAGGCTCTTGAGGAGAATGGGACTTGGACTTTGGTTTCTCTTTCTCCTGGGAAACGAGCAATTGGTTTAAGTGGGTTTATAAAATTAAATACAGCTCTGATGGTTCTGTTGAGCGCTATAAGGCTCGTCTTGTGATTTTGGGCAATAATCAGATCGAGGGTATTGACTATCATCAGACTTTGGCTCCTGTTGCGAAGATGGTGACTGTTTGGACCTACTTGGTTGTTGCTGTTGCCATAGGTTGGGAACTCCACCAGATGGACGTTCATAACGCCTTTCTTCATGGTGATCTTTCTGACGAAGTCTATATGACGTTACCTCCTGGTTTTTCTTCTTCTCAACCTCATGCTATTTGTCGACTTCGGCGTTCCCTCTATGGTTTACACCAAGCTCCTCTTTGTTGGTTTGCCAAGTAGGCGAGTACCCTCCGTCTGTATGGTTTTCAGCAATCTACGTCTGATTACTCTTTATTCACTTTGTAGCAGGCTGCCTTAAAGCTCAACGTTTTGGTCTATGTTGATGATCTTATTATTTCTGGTAACGATTCCGCTTCACTTACGTCCTTCAAAGCTTACTTTCATCGCTGTTTTCATATGAAAGACCTTGGGGTTCTCACATATTTCCTGGGTATTGAGGTGGCTTGCAATTCCACTGGTCTGTTTCTTTCTCAGCACAAGTATACGTTGGACATTATCTCCGAGATGGGTTTGTTAGGAGCTAAGCCTGCTGATTTTCCCATTGAGTAGAATCATCATCTTTCTTGGGTGTCTGATGCTCTTTATTTGGATCCTCTGCAGTACTGGTGTTTGGTTGGTCGCCTTATTTATTTAGCAGTCACACGACCTAGCTTGTCTTACTCTGTTCATATCTTGTCTCATTTCATGCAAAAGCCTATGCAGGCTCATTGGGATGCTGCTCTTCCGGTTGTTCGTTACTTGAAGGGAACTCCCGGACAAGATATTCTTCTTCGGGCTGACTCTGATCTTCAGCTTTCTGGTTGGTGTGATTCAGATTGGGCCAGGTGTCCTCTAACTTGCCGCTCCATCACGGGTTGGTTTGTTCAACTGGGTTCTTCTCTGATTTTTTGGAAGACTAAGAAACAACAGACTGTAGCTCTTTTGTCTGCTGAGGCTGAATACCGGGCTATGGCGTCTAATGTCTATGAGCTAAAGTGGTTGAGATCCCTGCTTTATTGTCTCGGTGTTGTTAATTCTCATCCTATCCCGTTATACTATGACAGCCAAGCCGCGTTGCACATCGCTGCCAATCCGATTTTCCATGAGCGAACGAAACACATTGAGGTTGACTGTTATTTCATTCGCAATGAAATCATGGCTGGATCTATTCTTCCTAATTATGTGTCGACTCATCTGCAACTTGCTGATATCTTCACTAAGGCCTTAAGGAAACAATAGTTTGAATTTTTCTTGCGCAAGTTGGGCATTATTAATCCCCATAGTCCAACTTGAGGGGAGGTATTACGGATTACCTTTGTATATTTATGGTATTATATTATCGAGTTACGGCCTTGTATAGTATATATAGGCTTGTTGTATCAAACCCTAATACATGATTTGGATCAACTTTTCAAGTCTGTATATGTTGGTTGCCTCTAGCGTTGCTGATTTCTCACTATCCACCGCCATATCCACCTCCCCGACCACCATCATATCCACCACCATTGCCGTACCGCCACCATATCCACCACCACGACCACCACCATATCCACCATCATATCCACCTGGTCCCTATTAGAGTGTGATTCAAAGTTACCTTGAAAGATTTACCGCTGACCGAGTCTTGCTGCAAGTTGAGTTCTTATCTATTTGTTATTTGTTTTTCTATTTCTGTTGCTATTTTTAGGCATGGGATAATGCCAAGATTT